CTGAAACAAGGTCTGTTGTGGCAGAAGAAAAGGAAGAGCTCACGCAGCTGGGACTGAGCAATTTCGATTCAAAGTTGTGAGAGGCTATATAAAGCTTTCCTCCCAGTTTAATCCAGCTATTAGGCACAGTTTTAATTATGCTTGTGCATCTCTGCATTCACACAAGGCTTTAGTAAAAGCAAAAGGAGATTGAATTGTGATGTAAAGATGAATAATGGTCACACAGATCACTTTGGTGTTGTTTCATGTTTCCCTTGAAGATTTGCTAGGTTGGTGGCTTTCAAGAAAGACTTATGAACAGTATCACACTGCCTCTTTTATGCTGCGTGCACAAGGGTGTGATTTTCAAATGCTAACTTTCAAAAAGACTCTCAAGTCATCTGGACTGCCCCCTGTTCACACTATCTCCTATGTCATCTGGCTTCACTGTTGCTGCCAAAAGGACACACCAGCACTGGAGAACACTCAAAGATTCAGGCTACTGTTTAAGATAGAAAAGCTACAATACTTGAATTAGGCACCAATAACTGGCATGTTTGAAAATACTGCCTAAAGTGTCCTGAGTTGGAAGGCAGCGTCAATATTATGTGTCCAAGCTGGGCTTATACTATGTAGCTTAAAATTTCTTTACTATTTGCATGCAGTGCACAAGTGTTATCAAATTACTCCATTGCTGGAGTAATTTAATTACAACTGTGCTCAAATGCCCCAGGGGCTCAATGAGCAGGATACTGTACACACATTCAGCCAGAGAAGACCCTATAGCAAGTCTGCATGGAGAAGACATGCAATGGGTGAACCAAAGGAAGTGCTGTCACCCTCCCTTGATAGTAGAGAATTGAAGGCAAGACAAATTCATTGATTTGTTCAGGTGGGAGGTTTGTAGAAGAGCTGAAATTTAGCTCTGGAATCCCAGTCAAAAGCACTAATCACACGACTGTCCTCCCATGAATGCTGTGCATTTCTTCATTTTATGCAGTGACAACTACAGTCTCTCGCTGAAGTTGGAGTCACTAGAATTAATGGCATATTGCCAAGAACTGCAAAAGGAAGAGATTAACCTACCTCCTCTTAAAAGTGAAATTACAGGTGCCTTCAAGGCATAAGGCAAACTCTTTCTTACAAAATGCAGCTTCACTTCAGTAATTTTTAAAATTACTTTGGAGACTTTTCCTTGCGGGTCCTTACTCCCAGTGCCAGCAGGTGGGAGACAAAGCATCCATAAATCCTGATCATTCTAAGATTTTCCTATATTCTCCAGACTCCAGTGCAGAATGCCATTTCTTCCCCTGAGCTAATGCTTCAGTAGCTGCACCTTGAGTTTCCAATGTATTAACTGAGTTGCCAGTCATCATTATTATTTTTTCTTAACATTTTCTTTCTGGCTTTACTTCAGCAATCCTCTTGTTCCTCTCAAACTCCAAAACTCACATTGCAGAAAAATCACTGTTTAAAGGACGAGTGTTGAAAATAAGCAAGCAAACAACAACCTTCTAAAGGAATGGCTGTGACCACAAGTCATGTTCATACAGTCTAGCCTTTTCCCAGCTTTGCTCATCACACAGATGACCTTCAGTTTGTGAAACCAGGATGAATTCCTACAGACTAGTCATGCATGGTAGTTCAGACCATTTACTGGTTTCCCCAGTGGGTGCTCAGAGGGGCCTGGCAGCAATTAAAAGTTGCCCTCCAACAGGCAAGCCTGTAGCTATGCCTTTCTTTTCCATGAATATGCAGCTTGCACTCAACTGACAGTAAGTTTCGAGTACCTCAAGCCCTTAGGAGAATGACCTGTATGTAAAACACCTGGAGAAGCAGAAGGTCTTTTACCTGAAAGGCAATGACCCAGCACTGCAACATGGATCAAAGGTTGCAAGGCAGGTCTGAGAGGCAGAGCACAGATAAAAAAGGCTGAAGATCCCAACTATCATCCTAGTTTTGCCATCAGACACTGATAGGAGTAAATAAGAACTAAGAGAAACACAACAACTAAGAGAACATCAACTGGCAGATGAAAAGAGGACATTTGAGCCTAGAATGGAATGATACATTTTGTAATGAGTTGCTCTGGAGCTGTTCTGTATAGTCCCGAGTAATAAGCCTTAATCTTCCCAAACAAAAAACCACTAGTAAATTTCTGGTATGCCACAGACTCCTTCATGACTGAAGACAAAGTACAAACTTTTTTGGCCGAGAGTTTTTCCATTATCTAATCTAAATAACAAAAAATTGCAGCTCTCCTTCCTTTTCCAAGGTGAGTCTTTGTTTAGAGGGCTACTAACCCGCAGCTGGCTCGTAGATGTCCTGTCTGAAATGTGTGTCAAGGTCTGTTCAAGCTGGGTGGGATGATGAGGGCAGAGCAGTGGAATAGGCTGCTCAGAGAATGGGCATCCTTCCTTGGAGATACTCATAAACCATCTGGATGCGATCCTGTACAATGTGTTCTAGGTGACCCTGACTGAGCAGGGCAGTTGGACTAGACGATCTCTAGAGGTCTCTTCCAACCTCTGTCATTCTGTGTGATTCTGTGAAATTCACTGGGGACAAGGTCCTCAGCTCACTATGTTGTTTCTATGGATGTTGTTCTGAAGACTGAAGAACAATTCTAGATGATCGCTTAGGCACCAAGGTCCTGGCCTTGGATGTGCTTCACTGTGTTTCGAAATGACGAGGGACCAATTCCATCGTCAATCCCACCATTTGAAATGATGGTGGAACCAATCTAAACCAATCTAGTACAATGAAGAGATGGTTAAGTAGGGATACATATAAAGCAAGGAAAGGGGCCCAATAGAACAAATAATTTAAAAAGTTAAAAAAGAAAGAAAGAATCTAAGAAGATTCTCCCTTCTGTTCCTGAGAGGAAAAAAAAAATGCCACTCACTCATTTTCTTTTCACATAGCCCTGTTTTATACCCAGTAATTCCTTTAGTTTAACTCAAATACCTCTAAGTTCCCTGTAGTGTCAATGACAGAAGAATCAATTCACACAGTCTAGTTAAGAACTCCACACTGGAAGAAGAAGGTGATAAAAAATAATTTTGAAACTGTGTGACTCTACCTGTACAGAGAGCTAACTTGACCGGGCTCAAGAAGATGAAGAATTTGGACAAGTAATCAAGTGGGTTCCTACCACTAAATTTTGACTTATTGTGCTGCACATTTTGGTACTGTTAACACTTTGGGGACTCACGTGCTCATATTAATACATATAACAGTTCAGCTACTGAAGTAGTTTGGGATAGAATGCTGTAGAAATCTCAGACATCACAGCAATTGACAGAAAGGTCTCCTATTTAGGGAAGAAAAACAAATATATTTTCCGATCTGTAATGTTACTAATCTGAGGCCAAATGAATGATCTGTAAATCTCAGCCCTAAGCATGCATTTGTTAAACCTAGCTGAATTGGTTTGGGAATTGAAGATGACAGTTCAAAACATCACTACTCACTTTCTGAAGTGGAGTTTATGGGAATTTCTGGTTTTACTTTCCTATTGTTAATTCTAATGACTGCTTTCCATAAGATTGGGCATAGCCAAGGCAAAATAATTAACATTCATGATAGCCCGTGACTGCTAGGAATGCTTTGCCTGCAGATACCCTTGTCTTAGTTCCAAGCATTCAGATAATGATGTCTAGAAAATTCAAGCCCACCCAGTTAATCAAGCAAAAACTTAAATTGCTCTTTACAGGTTCTATTGCTGCATTTTACCTGCATTTAAATCACTAATTCTGCTCTTAGAGTAAATGTCCTACTAAAGATTCCTTGCTGGAACAACAGTAAGAAAGTCCTTTTTTTCTAGAATCATCCAAACTCACAGAGCACCTTGTCACGGGATGGACCAAAGAGCACTCTGTAGGTCAATAAAAATCTACTACACATTTGTGTAAACATACAAAACTTGAATGTCTTCAGTATGGCCATTTCCTAATGTGGTGCTGGTACACAAAAGCCTAGATAAAAAAATCTGTCCTTTCAGTTTCTCTCAGTATCACCTTCTTCATCTTTACCATGTAGAAAGCTCACTGGTGACTGGCAGTTTTCACTTGCGCCTTGGCTTTACCTGCTGTAAAAAACTTTATTGCCAAGGATGATCCAAGATCTCCTTCTTTGGAGATCTTTAAAACCCGCTTGGATGCAGCCCTGTGCCACGTGCTCTAGGTGACCCTGCGTGAGCAGGGGGGTTGGACTCGATGACCTCTGAGGTCCCTTCCAACCTTCGGCATTCTATGATTCTATGATTCTATGAGTATCTAAACAGGTAAACTCGTTATTCCCCTACAAATTTATTAACCAATGTTAGGAAATCAAATAAAAGATCCAGATCATGTTACCAAATAGTAATCCAGGCAGCTTGTGAGCCATCTCCTGCAGTGTCCATCCTGTCTGAATAGCAAAATGTTTGTAGAAAACTGAAAAAGTTGCTTCTGTCTCCAGATATAGCAAGCAACTTTATTCTTTCTTTCATGATAGTGATCTAATGAGTGTAAAATTAACACAGTATACAGTACTATATGGTGAAATATGTGCCCTTGAAAGTTAGTTTTACAAAGCACACAATTAAAATGGTAGCACGTATTTCTTAGTTTACTTCATTTGCTTTATATAGTATTGGCGGAACAGAAAAGTAAGGTATAGAGAATACTGACCAAAAGAGAACTTCAATCAGCCTCGTAATAGGACATTGTTACAACCATGGAATGAAACACTATTATGTCAAATAGCAGAGACAGTGATCAAAAAAAATACAGGGGGTGAAGCCATGGGCAGAACTCAACAATTCTCATCATTATACAACTTAGTAGGTAAGAGAAATCTCCTAGAGACAGCTTGCATCGCTCAAATAACTAATTTATGAAGATTTAAAATAGGCTAGGTTTATATAATCGTTTTCTATTAATATCTCATTCCTCTCATATATACACTTTTGTTTGATGCTAAAAAAAAAAGTAAAAAAGGCACATATTTGAGGATACTGTAGAGGAATTTTGTTTTACCTGAATCATCTGCTCTCAGTTTTTTAGTGGGGTTGTCACCACTGTCATCATCAGACATTTCCATCTCTTCTTCCCGGCGGATTCCCATGAGCTGTTCACTGTGAGCATTTCTGAGCTCCTAAAACCCAAAATGACCCTTTGTCAGTAGTGATTTCCACAAAGTAATTGCTTTATCTTTAGTAACTGTTTTTAAAATCCTCTGATTTTTGATTATAGGATGTTTATCATTGTTATCATACATGTATGTATATATAAACCTGTTCATAACAACAGTAGCTTAAGGCAAGATTAGTGCAACATTTTCCAGAGTTTGAACGGGGTTCAAGTTGAAAGAAACTGAATTCTTCATGTGAAAGAAGGGACTTTATAAAAGGCAACACTCAGGGAAAGCAAGAGAGAAAGTGAGCCTCTAGATGAAATAATTTTTGCTTCCAAATATAGAAAAACAGGGATAACAGCAGGGATAATGCTGAAAATTGTGTATCAATCTCATCAATAAAGGGACTGACAATCTGCTTAAGGTAAAAAAGAATCCAATCTCTGTTACTTGGGGTGGCATTCAGCATGGCCACTAAAAACAAGTTCCCCCATATATTTTTTTTGTAGAAATGTAAAGAAACAAGCACTTTAAGATTTTTTTCACATCCACAAGGTTAAATCCAAACTAAGTCAGATTAACTGTGCCCTAAAAGTGCCTATTTCTCCCTGCTGCCTGTAAAGGGAGTCTAAAGGATCGAGCTCAGATGGAGCACACTATATTTTAGGTGCCTAATGCTA